CCTCATGTCGGCTTGGGTTAAGTAGATCATGAACCTGGGAAAGATTGCAGGGGAGATCCAGGGATATTTCCTCTGTCACCTCAGTGGTCTGCACTCCTCAGGGCAGCCCCTAATGGCTGCTGCCCACCCTTGCTGTTCTTGCCTGAATAGGTTTGTCAGGAGCAACTTAGAGGAGTTGGAGTTTGGTGCTCAGCCAAGTCTGGAAGTCTTCCATGCTTTCACTTGACTAGCATCCCTAGGCAAAAATGGCAGCAACTGACAACAGTTTTTAGTGGTCCAACTACATGATATTTCTTTGCTTGAGCTGGGTTTACTGCCAAAGAGAGGAGATAGAGAGGGATGAGATTAATAGCAGCTGCTGCCAAGGCAGGCTATTAAGTTTGAACGTGTAAGCCCCAGGCCTGGGTGAAAGCTGCACAGTTGGGCTTGGGGAGGGGAATGAGAAACAACTTAGGAACTAGCATGTTTGCTACTAACCTGCTGGTGACAGTTTTGAAAGCTGCCGAGCACCTTGAACATGACAACAGTCCTTGCCTATCCCAACAATGTGGTGGTCTGTAAGGTCACTGAAATAATGGTCTGCCCTTCCCTGCATAAGGGTATGGAAGCTCTCTGCTGTTCAAAGGGGCTCTTACTGGGCCAAACCCATCCCAAAAAGGCATCTAGGATCCTATACGAAATACCTCTCCAGCGTGAAATAGAGGGGTTGTAAAGAACAGGGGTTAAATGTATATGCGTGTTTTTCAGGTTAACTTCAACAAGATGCCAATGGAAATGCGCCTTCCAATCAAATGTAGCATAAAGCGAGATTTCTTATCTGGTATACAGATTGAATTCAAACAGTCACCTCACCAACAAAGCTTACGGGCCCAGTTATACTGGCTTCAGGTACAAATCTTTGATTTATTTATTTTTTAAGAAAACCTTGGTGTTATGAGGGATAGAAGTAACTCTGGTCAAGGAAACTGGAATCTTAAAGATGGTAGTCATGGACTGTATAACGGTTCTCTGGAACCACATTTGTTCTTGGAAAGACTGTGGGTCACTAAATGATTTGTCGTTTAGTTAATTATTCACGAGAATTTTAAAACTATACTTCGTTTAAGCACAAAACATTCTGTACATTTTGTAAAAATTAAGAGCCAAAACCCTGCAAAAATAATCTTATTTCTTAATTGTTTTTTTATTTAGCAAAGATAAGATTTTGTAGGTGCTGACTTTGCTTTATTTTGTGTAGCTAAGCTAAAGGAGCTTGAAATCCTCTGCCCACTTACCTGGGAGTAAGCCCCATTGAACTTAATGGGGCACATTTCTGAGTAGACAATGTATGATTACAGGTAGATTGCATTTTATGTTGATTTGACTTACACGATTGCAGCGTCATGCGGATTGTCAGAAAATAAATAAATGCAGAGTGGGGAGAAAAAATAGGGTGGGAGAGCAGGAAAGAATGACAGACAATCACAACAGCCATTGGAAGAGTATTAGAATGTGTTTGGAGAGTTGTAGTGTGGAGAGAGTGGAGGAGGTTGCAGAGAGGTTTTTTTTCTTAAAAAAAGCTATATTTCTAAAAGCTTGAGAAAATAAGAAAAAACAATATAGTCAGCATCAAATATCAAGCATTTTTAATATAAAAACTAAAAGTAAATTAAGAAAAAGAAAAGACTTCCTATTTTCTAATAGTTTTTAAAATTTATGCCAAATTTTATTCTGCAAAAACACACAACTTTTCTGCTTTCCACAAACCTGTCTTCAAACTCAGATATCACAACCTTTTCCTTCTTGCACAAAAATCCATAGGGGATTTCCAAGAGGTTGGAGAGAGATCAGAGGAGGCCGGAGAGAGTTGTGGAGGAAGTTGGAAGGATTTGCTGATTTTTGTGGTTTTTTTTACAGTTTTCTAGGGGGTGCTCTGGCTTTACATGATTTTGCTTAGATGTGCAGTAGCCCAACATAGGATTAAATCTGCCTGTACTCTGCTAAAATAATAGTCTTGATTAATGTTTATCATATATTGGCTTCTTATATATTGGTTTGTTACTCCCTTGAAGGTCGATAACCAGTTGCCTGGTTCAATGTTCCCTGTTGTATTTCATCCTGTAGCTCCTCCAAAATCCATCGCATTGGATTCAGGTAATAATATTTTTAACATTCTAGATGCAGCAAGAATCAGCCACTTATGAAACAGGTATTCATTTCACCTCTCATTTTTCCTTAGAACCACGGCCATTCGTTGATGTTAGTATCATCATTAGATTTAATGAGTACAGTAAAGTGTTGCAGTTCAAGTAAGTAAAATATACTTAAAGGTTTTTGAAACATAAGCCATGTGAATCTTACTCCTAAATAAATTCTTAATTCTTAAGGATCGGAGAAAGGACCAAATTAAGCTAGAGCAGGGGTTGGAAACCTCTGGCCCACAGTCTTAATTAGGTCCAGCTTGGCCTGCAAGACCCCTTCCCCCACACCTGATGTCACATCTGAGGGGCAGGTCTGGGGCAGGAAGAGATGCAAATGCCCATGCAAAACTGGGAGCCTGGAAGCATGCTTCCTATTGTTCATTGGCAGTGGAGGTTTGCTGTCACTACTGGTTAGCTGATTGGCGGTGAGAGCAAGCCTGTTGGGATCCTCTGTGCTACAAAATTATCAGTGGAGAACTCAAAGCTGGTTTCCAAGTCCCTGCCTATCAGCTGATGAGCAGTAAATTCAAGTCTCACATGGCTTGGATTCGCTGTGCTATAAAGGAAAAATGGATCACCTGTTGTCATAGTGATGCCAGATGACTGACAGGCCCACGAGGATAGGAGGAGCCCAGGATTAGGCCAGCTGGCCACAGCTAGATCCCCACCTCTGAACTAGAGTGATTTCATGTTTCAAAAAATATACCGTATTTTTCACACTATAGGACGCACTTTTTCCCCTCCAAAAATGAAGGGGAAATGTGTGTGCGTCCTATGGTGCGAATGCAGGCTTTCACTGAAGCCTGGAGAGCGAGAGGGGTCGGTGCGCACCGACCCTCTCGCTCTCCAGGCTTCAGGAGAGCCCCAGCGCCAGCCCCACAAGGTCGGGGACAGAGGGAGGCGGAACGCCGCCATCCCGCTGTCTCCCGAAGTGGTTTGGAGGCTGACGGCGGGGAGACCCCGCCGCCGGCCCCGCAGCTCCGGGGACAGCAGGGAGACGCAGCGCGTCTCCCGCTGTCCCCGGACCTGATCTCAAGGCGGGCAGCAGGAGAAGAGCGCCTCCCCGCTGCCTGCCCCAGCTCCGGGACAGCGGGAGACGCAGCGCGTCTTCCCGCTGTCCCCGGACTTGATATCAGCAGGGCGGCGGGGAGAAGAGCACCTCTCCCCGCTGCCTGCCCCAAGCTCCGGGGACAGCTGGGAGACGCAGCGCGTCTTCCCGCTGTCCCCGGACTTGATATCAAGGCGGGCGGCGGAGAAGAGCGCTTCTCCCGCTGCCTGCCCCAAGCTCCGGGGACAGCTGGGAGACGCAGCGCGTCTTCCCGCTGTCCCCGGACTTGATATCAAGAGCGGGCGGCGGGAGAAGCGCTTCTCCCGCTGCCTGCCCCCAGCTCCGGGACAGCAGGGAGACGCAGCGCGTCTTCCCGCTGTCCCCGGACTTGATATCAAGGCGGGCGGCGGGAGAAGAGCGCTCTCCCGCTGCCTGCCCCGCAAGCTCCGGGGATAGCTGGGAGACGCAGCGCGTCTTCCCGCTGTCCCCGGACCTGATCTGAAGGCGGACTGCGGGGAGAAGAGCGCTTCTCCCCGCTGCCGGCCCCACAAGCGCCTGGGGGGGAAATAATTTTTTTTCCTTTATTTCCCCCCCCAAAAAACTTGATGCGTCCTATGGGCCGGTGCGTCCTATGGTGCGAAAAATACGGTATTTCCCACTACAGGACTAGAATGGCTCAAAACATTTAGCTTTAATTGAGGGTAGAAGCTTTCTGCATATACAGTCAAACCCACAGATCATTTAAACTGGAATTGCTTAATAAAATATTTTAGTTTGTCCGCCTTCATTGGGACTGTGAAATGGTTTCAATAAAAGTACTTTGAATGAAATGGTATATGGCGTGGCATGGACCATCTGTGGGTTTGGGCCAAATCTGTTGAGAGGAGCCAACCACAAGCCTGTGGAATTACCCACAAGTTTTCCACCACTTTATTGTTTAGTCTTCAAGGAACTCTGGCATTGCAGGTGCATCACAGGTAGCTGCATAAGCAGAAATGGTCCAGTATTTCACTTGCTTTGAAATTAAATATTAACCACAAAAAGGGCAGTTGGCCTCACGGAAGCTGTGTTGTCAGTTACTTGTATTTTCCTTTTCCTCAGGTATTTCATGGTTCTAATCCAGGAAATGGCTTTGAAAATAGATCAGGGATTCTTAGGAGCTGTTATTGGACTCTTCACTCCATCTACAGACCCAGAAGCTGAAAAACAAAGGGTAAGGTCTGCTTGGGACATCTCATATGTTGAGCTGAAAATCTGTTTTTTAAAACATGCCAGTCTATGAAAGCACAGAAGAATACTAATGCTAGATCTGACCATAGAAATGACTAGAGAAAATTATTTATTTTCAAGACAGTAATTAGCAACATGGGGGGGAATATAACTAAACAAGATCTGGACAACTGTGTAATATTTTTAGCAATTTCTGGAAACTCTGTTTTGTGTATAGTGTTAGTACACAAAACAAGTTTGGGATGAGTTTACTAGGCATCAGATTTCCAAAAGTTGCCTGTGGCTTTTAAGTGCTGTCCCAGAAAAATGTTCTTACAAGCTGATCTTGGTGTGTCATGGATTTGGCATATGGGTGGCCTGTTGCTATGATAATGTGACAAACAGCCCTGAAAATTCTGGTCACAGTAAACGATTAACTGTTGTTTACCATGATGCCATCCTGGGCTCCTAAGGGTATAGAGAATGCTTCCATAGAATCATAGAGTTGGAAGGGATTCTGAGGATCATCTAGTCCAACCCCCTGCAATGCAGGACTATGCAGCTGTCCCTTACGGGGATCGAACCTGCAACCCTGGCATTATCAGCACCATGCTCTAACCAACTGAGCAGTCCAGCAGACGGGCAGGCCATAAATTTAATAAATATTAATAGTAATAATGATGTTCGAATGGGGCTGCAATTTATTAATTATTGCAGAGAGTTGAGCTTCTAGTTGCTGAATTTTCATTGAAATAATATTTTCAAACCAGTGTATTGAAAAATGCGTAGAAGGCAGTTTTTAAAGGAGGTAATTGGAACAAATACTGTAATTTCCTGTGATAGGTAATGTTACTTGAAATGAGAACAAATTGTATCAAGGCAAGCATATAATATAATATAATATAATATAATATAATATAATATAATATAATATAATAATATGCTGCCCATCTGACTGGGTTACCCCAGCCACTCAGGGCAGCTTCCAGCAAATTAAAACACAATACAGCATCAAATATTAAAAACTTCCCTGAACAGGACTGCCTTCTGATGCCTTCTAAAAGTAAGATAGTTGATTATTTCCTTGACATCTGATGGGCGGGCACAACCACTGCGAAGGGCCTCTCCTTGGTTCATTGTAACGACACTTCTTTCAGTGAGGGAACCAGCAGAAGGCCCTTGGAGCTGGATCTCAGTGTCTGGGCTGAATGATGGGGATGGAGACACCAAGGCCATTTAGGGCTTTCAAGGTCAGCACCAGCACTTTGAATTGTGCTTGGAAACGTACTGAGAGCCAATGTAGGTCTTTCAGGACTGGTGTTACATAGTCTGGCAGCTGTGTTCTGGGTTAGTTGTAGTTTCTGAGTCATCTTCAAAGGTAGCCCCACGTAGAGCGCATTGCAGTAGTCTAAGCGGGAGATAACTAGAGCATGCACCACTCTGGCGAGACAGTCCGCAGGAAGATAGGGTCTCAGCATATGTACCAGATGGAGCTGGTAGACAGCTGCCCTGGACACAGAAGTGACTTGTGCCTCCAGGGACTGCTGTGAGTCCAAAATGACTCCCAGGCTGTTCACCTGATCCTTTAAGGGCACAGTTACCTCATTCAGCACCAGCGAATCCCCCACACCTGCCCCCCTTAAACAGTACTTCTGTCTTGTTGGATTCAATCTTGGTCCGTTAGCCACCATCCACCCCCAACCACCTCCAGACAGAACCACTCACACAGGACATTCACCACCTTCACTGGTTCTGATTTAAACAAGAGGTAGAGCTGGGCATCAGCCGCATACTGGGGAACACCCAGCTCAAACCCCCTGATTCATACCTCCCAGCAGTTTCATACGGGGGGGTGGGGGGGAGGACAGAGTCTCGAGGCACCCCAAATATAGAAATGTTTCATCAGTTTGTGTAGCGCCTACTGTTCAAGTCTGAACCTAATTGAGGATTTCAATTAAAATTATTGCTATTTTAACAGACAAAGTTGATCCAAAAGGATATTGATGCTCTTAACACACAGTTGATGGAGTCATCCTTGACTGATATATCCACCCTCAGCTTCTTTGAGCACTTCCATATTTCTCCTCTGAAGGTATGTTTGAAAGGACTGTGGCTTGGCAACACAAAAATCAAGACTGTTATATTTAATTATGTAATATTAGGGTAAGGTTAAGAATAAAATGGTATTGGATAAAGTGATACTGCAATATGTACTCAAGTCACATGACCGCGATATTCGTTATTTTGTACATTTGCTGACTAACAGTAGTGTAAATATTGTGTTCAATGGGCACCGCCTGACAGAACAGTCCTCACTGAAGCTTGTGCTTATTATCGCCATTCTCATTTCACAGACTTGCAGCCTCACAGCTTGCTCAGTAGGGAGAGGATGGCACAGCATCTTGGGTGCAGTCTTGCTGTGTTTCCATCTGTAACAAATTTTAATTTCTCTCTTCATTAACTAGCTAAGTAGATGGAAGAAAAATTCTCTTGGGTTCCTTCAAAGTAATATGTGGAACCTGCCTTAAGTGATAGTGATGTTTTTGGGTTTATTTATTTATTTAAATCAGTGAAGAGAAAAGGCTGGCTTAAATCATGTTTCTCACTGATGCTACTTTTTAAGTTTCTTAACCTATGGTGCAAACTTGCCCACTAAACCATATTAATTTAGGACTACGATATTATTTATACTTTTGACTCATTCTTGCAACAAAGCCATGCATCTCTTTAGTCACTCTGCAAATACTTTGCATGCTTTACCTGTAGAGGGAATATCTTTAAAATGTTCCTGCTTAGGGTCTTTCTTATGACCAGCACCATGACACTAAGCAGAATCCTGTTTACTCAAAAGTCAATGGGGCTTTCTTGTCAGGAAGTTGATACAGTACTGTAGCTTAAGTATTTGACTATAGGCATAGGTGCATAGCACAATCTTGTCTTCCATTTGTCTTTCCAGTGTGCATTGCTCCTTTCTGTTCCACTTGGCTCAGCCCCCCCCCAAACAAAAATGAAGTGCCCACAACTGATAGGTCAAAGCACGTTTAATAGTTCCCAGTCAGACTAGAGCAGTTTATTTTTATCAGGTGAAAATGAAATGTCCGCTCATCCTCTCTGGTGGGTGCCATTGCGGGCTGGCATTCCCCCTCACGCCAGGATCCAAAGTGGGAAGTCCTAGGGACTGTTTCCCAGGCAGCAAAGGAAGTCCCATTTGCCTAATCAGCAAATCACAACCGAGCATGGGACCCACCAGGGGGCAGGCTCCAGTATATTACGTAGGCATGTGGTTTGTTCTCCAGCCATATTTTTGGGATCTCCCACCCTCCCACTATGGCATAGCTGGTTCCCATATTTGGGGCCAGGCTGGAATTTTTTCAGTTGGCAAATTGGCTCCAGCCCTCTGGTTTTTGCCATCTTCGTAGCAATTGTCACACCTTTGGTGCTTTAAGCATTAGATAGGTCTAGTTTTGGTTGGAGGAGAGGCCTGACCCCCTCCCCTGAAATGGGCTTTCCCGTTAAAGGGATCCAGGGGAGATGCTTCTTTTCGGACGCCCGGGCGGGGGCGAGGGGCCACAGCAGCCCCCAGGTGCAATCCAGTGGGGGAGTTGCCCTTTGATGTAGGTCAGGGACTCCCTCCTTTCCAGTTGATCCCAAAATGCAAGATCTTCCAGCAGGTGGACCGGAAGGGATGGGATCTACCCAATGCCAATCCTCTTATATCTGCTGGCATTAAAGTTGCAGCCTGATTTCACCCAAAAATGCAGTGTGTCTTATTCTTGGTATTGGGAGGAACCGAAGAGGAGGGGGGATGCCTTGCCACACAAATCTATGAGCCATCCATCACCTTCTTGTATCCTCATTAACCCAGAATAGAGGACAGGAGCTAGAAATCATAAAAAGGAGAGAGAGAAGCAAAAGAAATAAAGAGGATTTCCAATTTTCCGTCTGTCAATTATGTATATAAAGACTATTTAGAGTATTCAAAATGTTCTAAATTTACATAGAAATGCCTCCTTTTTATCTCATCATATCTAGAAGGCGGTTCAAGCTGAAAATTAACTGTGGGTCTAATTTAATATAAAACATTTCTTGTATACTGTGAACACTCTTTTCTGAAAAGAAAGCATGATTGACAGAATGATTAGCAATATAACTGAGCACTTAAAAATGTTGTCACAAACATCGTCACAGATCTAGTATCTTTTTTTCTGAAGCTTTTTTCAAACTTCTACATGTTTGCCACTTCCATATGTCTATATATTTAGTAAAACTTGACAAGCAGGTACCCAAAATGTTAATTCATATCCATTTCTATCTTGTTAGTTGCATTTGAGCCTTTCTTTGGGCTCTGGTGGGGAAGCATCTGATAAGGGCAGAGGAGAAATGATAGCGATCCATTCTGTGAATCTACTACTGAAGAGCATTGGGGCTACTCTTACAGATGTAGATGATCTAATATTCAAGTAAGTGGATGAAGCAAGTGTTTATCTCTTAAATTCTCTTTCTGGGTTCTTGTTAGGCATTTGCAGTACTAATTATTTTTAACCACCCTGTCACTACACATGTTCATGCATCTGGAAACTTATTAGAACAGTATTGGGTAACCACAGAAAGAGGGCTGTATGAATGGAGAATGGATACTCATAAAAGAGGCTAAGAGAACCTGCTGTGATGTTGCCTGCTCAGTCACATCTCAGGCTTGAATTTGCTGCCATAGGCAGCTTGCATTCTCTTAACTCCAGCTCCGCATTTTTTACATGGGGATAATGCCAATCAGCTTTACAGGGTTATTCTATAGATGAAATGATGTACGAGAAGAAAATACACTGTAAGTATGTAGAAGTTTTAGACATTCTCAGCAATGGGAAAACATCATTCTTCAGATGCTGATTTGATGCTTCTTTTCAGGCTTGCTTTCTTTGAAATCAAGTATCAGTTTTACAAAAGAGATGAATTAATGTGGAAAGTCATCGGGCATTACAGAGATCAAGTAAGTTGTTTGCCCTCTGCATCATTTTCTCCGCTGTATTTCTAACTGAACTTTGGATTTAGCACATCATTTCCACATGCATTCATAAGGCCTGAAGCTCAACTCTCTTTGCCCAGGAGGCATTAATATTGCAGTGTGAAATTGTAGTTCCTAAGCAATGACATACTCTTTGCATTGTGTGTGTGTGCACACCCCCTCCTACCCACCCCACCCCACACTCTCACACTATAGTACTGCTGTTAAGCTACCATTAAATATTGTTTGTTTTTGACGTGCATAGATTCTCATCCATTTTTTTAAAAAAGCTGAATACTAATTATTTCTATTTTGTGTTTCTGTGTTTGTTTATTTTTTACCTTAGTTCTTGAAGCAGGTGTATGTTCTTGTGCTGGGTTTAGATGTCCTGGGTAATCCTTTTGGCTTAATCAGAGGTCTGTCAGAAGGTGTGGAAGCTTTCTTCTATGAGCCTTTCCAGGTATGATGTCACTGTGCCACTGGAGTTGCAGGTTGTTGGTTTCACTGGATTTCTTTCTGAAACATTCTGATCTTTTATTTTGATCAGTAGCAAAGGATTTGTAAACTGACGAGTTCAAAAACCTGTGTGTTGAATATAACTATGTTAGGAAAAAAGAACAATATGTATACTGGCTTCA